CTCTCCCAGAAGTTTCTGCATTGCCTGCTTTCTGGCCCAGACATATTTCATTTTATTTCATTACCTGTGCTAGGTCCTCACCTGGTGTAAACCAGCATAACTGTGGTGGAGTCAGTAGAGGTGTCCTGAATTATACCAATCAGAGGTCTGGCTGGCTACGTGCAAGCTTTTTCTGACTTAATTTACCCCAATATGAATCTGCAGGGACTCCAGAGAAATCAATGGAGTTGTACCAGGGAGCAAGAGATGCAAGCAAATACTACTTAACCCTTGCACAGCTTCATTGACCTCAGAATCTGGCGAGGTAATATAGGCCTGTTGGGTCACAACAGGGGGATGGGCAGACATACATATACAGCACTTCAGATTCTGCACTTTTGGGAAGTGTTTTTAGTTTGTAACACTTCAGTACTGTATAATGTACAACTGCCTCCCAGCCACAGTGTCCCTGTGAAGTGTTTCAGTGTGATCTCTGTTTCATCCCAGGTCATTTTTAGTTGATTCTGGCCTGTTTGTACACTATTGCACTGCATGGCATTTATCTGCTCAGTTTTTTGTAGTGCTTTAACATTGTTTAAAGCGGTATAAACGTTACATTGCTCCATGCCCTAAGATGTGTCTATTAGGGCTGTGCAAAGCTTCGGCCCCTGATTCAATTCGGTGGAGATTCGGCCCGATTCGGTGGCCAAATCTCCAAATCTGAATCAAATCAGAGGGCCCTTTAATCTCTCCAAATCAAATCGGAACCCTCCGAATTGATTCAGAGAGACTTGGAAAGATTTGGCAATTCGGACATAGACACAGCTTTAAATGTGTTTTCTACATACCTCAAGGTAGCAGGTGGCTCGTGAATCCTGCGATGCTGAGGCACATGGAGCGTCCCACAGGAGTGTGGGGGGCTCCCCAGCGTGCTTGGCAGCAGACCCAGAAGTGGACCAGAAGCACATCCAGTCCACTTCTGGGTCCTTCGAAGAGCGCGCAGGGGGCCCCCCGCACCCTCACAGCTCAGCGACTGGTGCCTCCTGGGTCTGGGGGGGCACCTGGGGTCCCCCCATGGCCGATCACTGAGCTGGGGGGCCCCAGCACATTCCCCGGCGGACCCAGAAGTGGACCAGAACTACTTCTGGTCCGCTTCCAGGTTCGACGCTGAGCACTGAGTGTAGGGCCCTCCTGCACTCCTGTGGGATGCTCCATCCACCCCAGCATCACAGTGTTCACAAGCTGTGCCTGGTACCTTGAGGTATGTAGAAAAAACATTTAAAGCTGTGGCTGTGTCCGAATCGCTGATTCTCTGAATCAGCATCGAATCTTCAGATTCGGATTTGGCCGAATTGAATCAGGGACAGTGGTCTAAATCAACAAATTGAATCACTGTCCCCGATTCAGGCTGAATCCAAATCAAATAGGGCCCGCTTTGCACACCCTAATGGCTTTGTTTAGTTATCAGCTGCTTTGCTGTATGCACCTTAGCCATTTTCAACCTGAAGTCACAATTTTTTTCTCTCAAGCCTGTGTTTGCCTACAGCTGTAGGCTGGCTTGTGCCTCTTAATGGACAGCCTGCTGTAGGGGTGCGGTGACTCACTACCCAATGTGCGGGCCGACTTCCGATCTCGCCTGGGTCACCATGTGCGAGCTCTCTCCCGATCCCATTTGGGTCGCCATGTGCGAGCTGGGGCGAGCCGGGGACCCGTCTTTGTGTGTACACAGGCTGTGGCTGGTAGCCCGGGTACACGGGGTTGGAAAAGACCGCGGTGCGGTATGACACACTCTAGCTAGAATCAGTCACGGCGGCGTAATGGTTGATCGAAAAGATTATTTACTTACACCCAAGGTGGTTGCGGTGTAGGCTGGTCAGCTTTCCAGGCTCAGCTCCGCTTGAGTTCTCGGTGGAGGACTCTAATACACTCGGTTCCTTGACCCCGGAGTGAATCAGGCTCCACGGGTTCAAGAATTCGTTCCCACGGAGCAGCTGTATCTCCGTGAGTGTTACTCGGTTCCCAGGTCCCCCGGAGCTGTTAAAC